TAACCTTTCAGCTCTTTGTAATTCAAGTGGTCTTAGAGGGAACTCGACGGCTCTGTTTTCAGGCTTTAGAAAACCAACCCTGTGACGGGAGACGACGGCTAATCACAGGCCTTTCAGAAAGAGGCTGTTTTCCGTATTGGCTGTTCTCCAAATGCAGATACGTGTGCACGTCCCTTCAGACGGCCGAAAGCCCGATTCAAGGGCGGAAAAACCTGCAGAACGTAAAAAGCTAGACGACGACTCCGGGGCTGACTCGCCGGCGGTTGCCTCTGGTCAAGCCTGTCGATCAACCTCAGGCTGCATGTGCACATGAAGCACATGCGTACGCCTGAGCTGCAGGATTTCTGCCCGAGCTTTAACACAGCTTGTTTATTTGTCTTTAAAGCTGCTCAGCATTGTGCCAATCAGCTCTGTCAGCTCTACGTTTACCGCTTGTAGCGTCTCATACGACCACCAACTGTCACTATGTGTTGATAGATTCAACAGAGGAACCACTGGGCTTTTAATAGATGCTGGTGCTTTTTTTAGCCAGGATATGTGTTTCTCTTTGTTTCCAGTAAACTTCTACCGACCGTGGCTTCATATCTGCCAAACAAACATTAGTCCGATGTGCTCGTCTGAGTCTTGGCAAGATTTATTCCTTCACGTTTTTAAAGTCCAAACCAGGACATCTCTGTGATGTCACTCGACCAATATGGAGCAAGACTTCACGAGCTAAATGAGTCATCTCTTTAATTGACTCCCGCCTCCATTAGTCAAGAAAAACGTCAAAACAAATGTGAAGATTTGCTGGTAAATTCAATATCTTTGGACGTTTGGCAAAGACGCTTTCCGAGATTTGCTGATGCTTAATAGACTAAACAAAGAGTCGGTAATGAAAGTAATAATTACAGACTTAACCACGAGCTGCTGCAGCCTTTCTTTTGTTTGCATTTCAGGATCTGCCAGAGGATTGTTTTTTAGTCTTGAAACCCACAGCTAGACCATCAAGAAGAATAGTTGTTTTTCTTTTTGTAATCTTCAACCATCCTATCTCAGGTTAGAGAACTGTTTTAAAGCGCTCTCTACATGTGTTGCAGCCTGGATAAAGAGTTTTCGTCCTCTGGTCGACATCCTGCGGGGAGTTTAGTCGAGGCTGTGGGAGCACACAGGGGGCATCAGATAAGGCCGACTGTTGCTGTAGGTTTCTGTCAGCAACAGGTCGTGCTTGGCTGAACCGAGGGGTTTTAGATGCCCCCCGTGTGTGTTTGCCGAGCTGGAGGTGCTCATTATGCCTGGTCTCGGTGGAAGGTGGCCGAGGGGGAGTGGCAGGTGGACAGTCCAGATTCAGACGGGAGGTTTTGGGGCTTCGTGGGTCAGCGGACCCTCAGGCCATTAGAGAGAGGGGTCGTGCTTCCTGGGGTCTGCTCTGTGTGTGTGTGAGGGGTAGTCCAGGGGGTCTCTATTATTGTACTGGTGAGGAGGTGGAGGGGGGCGCTGGCAGGACCCCATGCTGCTGGGACCAGTCCTTGTCTTTAAAGAGGGGCGACAAATAGTCAACACATTTGCTTTAGTGCGTGAGACTGAGGGTCCTTTGTGCCACATGTGTCGTCCTGATGGGACACGAGGCCTGTTCTGAATTAAAAGTGCTTTAGGAAGTTATACACCTTCGGGCGCTGGTTCCCAACATGGGTATCGAGGCACCCATGAGAGGTCACAAGATCGATCTGAGGGGTCCAAAGAAGAGAACAACAAAAAGATGTATTTGTGTGAAGAAAATTGTGTTTTCCTGCATAATTTGGCTTTAATTTGTGAATTATTTAGTAATTTTAGATGTTAAAGAAGGGAAACAAAAATCTCTCTCACATCACAACATTGTGCACAAATGTAAATGTAAACGGGTAACTAATACGTTAGATTATTTCCATTGTCAATGAATGTGTTGATGATGTTCTCAGTTGGCTGTTTGGTCGATAAAATGTCCAAAAAATGCAATGAGTGTTCATAAAACCCAAGATGACCTCCTCAGATGTTCCTGTTTTTACCACAGTTTAAAGAAACTGTCACAGAGGAGGAAATAAACCAGAAAATATTCTCACGTAGGAAGCTGGAATCAGACAGTTTAGGCTTTTTTCGTTTAAATAAATAATTCAAATCAAGTTATCCTCCTCAAAATATTTGGTGATTAACTTGATAGTTCAGTTATTAAATTAATTGTTGCAGCTTTACAGCGTATTAAACCTCAGTACTCGCTGAGTACTCCGTTTTTAATGGTCTTAAGCCGGATCTAAGTTTCTCTTGGCTGCATCTGAGCAAATGCTCTCGTGTGTTTCTGTCACACTCGTACAAATCGAGTCTTATTAGAAAAACTCAGATGTAAAGACAAAGAACCGTAAAGGTATCTGGACTGATCAGCGTAAACAGGTGAAACAACGATGAGCAATTTTCGGGGAATCTCTGCAGAAGCATAATTGCGGCTGTAGTCCTTCAACAAATATTCCTCGTCTAAATCATACCTTCGTTAAGTCTCTCTTTTATTTTAAGAAAGACCTTGTTTGGCTGCTTTTGTTTGAGCCACATTAAAGGGATCTTGCAGTGATTCACGGCTGCACTTGCATGAAGTTGGGCAGCTTAAGTGTTAAAAACAGTGACTGGCAGCAGTCAAAACAGAAAGAAGCCGACTTTAAGCTCCTGCTATGAGACACGCTCAGTTGTTCCAGCGTAGAAAATGTGGATGCTGATCTATCGGCAGATATTCGTCATGCGTATGTTTTCTAAACTAGTCAGCAGCTTACCGTGAAGACACCGCTTGACTCCGCACCGCTGTCTGCTTAGCTGTGCTATGGGCTCTGCTACATGTGCTGCAGAGAGGATTATTTTTTTCTTTGCTTTTTTGTGAAGAGACAGAGAAACATGGGGAGAAGAGTGGAGGAAGGACATGCAGCAAATGAGCCGCTGGCTGGACTCAAACCTCCGGTACACGGGTCGCCGTCTTATCCGGCTGAGCTACCGGGGCGCCCCGGCTGAGAGGATTTTAAAGAATGGAGTCGGAGCTGGTCTACTGGACAAACTATAGGATGACAACATTTCTAAATGAGCCCAAACATCTGTTTTGGCAGCACGTTCTACAGCATGTACGACCAATCCATGCGCTGGTCAGGCTGGAACAACTACCACAGTGTGTTGTCTGTTAATTACTTCCTCCAGTTTGTTATATTTGCTTTCTGAGTCTCAAACACATTCACCCTGAAGACTATCAGTGTTCCTTTGGAAACTTTCAAAGCTCCCAACTGTTGGTAAAACGCTCCTTTAAACTCTGAAGAAGCTGGAAAGTTTTGTTAGATTAGAAAAAGTGAATTTGTCGACTTGTTTAAGTAGCAGGATGGAAAAAAGTCTTGATGAGATGTCAAGTATTTAAGGTGCTACAAGCCCAAAATGTTCAGACCCAGTGTCTTCAAGTGTAGTTCACACATTTCTCCTCCTAAATCTGAGTAGAAGTTGCATCTTTTTGTTTTTTTCCTCCACATTCTCCCACTTTGTGTGCCCATTCTGTGCAGTCTTTCTCTAATCTGGGACACAATGAGCGGTGCAGTGTCTCGCAGCGGACGAGGAGCTTTTGTCTGGCGGCCTATTGATCAGCCCTCGCCTCCTTCTCCTCCCTGCAAAGTGTGCGAATGCGTGTGATCTCTGGAGCTGTGCGGCGACAGCGGCGGTCCAGCTGAGCCCGCGGGAGGAGACCCGCAAGAAAGGTGTCGCCGGGTCCAGAGAGCGTCGCACGCCGAGCCGGGAGGGTTCGAGTTTTGAAGTCGAGGGGGAGCGAAAGAAGAGGAAGAAATAAAGATAAAAGAAAGAGAGGAAAGAGGAGAGGAGGCACTTAAATGTGGAACTCCCGGGCTCCTTGTAATTTGCTGCTGTGGGAGAGAGGAGGGAGGAGTCAGGGGGAGGGGAGAGCTCAGCGGGGAGGGAGCAGAGGCCATTCACTCCAACACACACACACACACACACACACTCATGCAAACACACACATATGAACACTTATAGACGCACACATGCACACAGTGGATGTGTTGCCACAGGAGAGAGGGAGGGAGGGAGGCATTCAGAGAGAGAGAGGGAGGCAAACTGAAGGGAGAGAAAGAAAAAGAAAGAACATCAGCCAGAGGAGAGGTCTGAGCAGAACACAGTGTTTGCTCCGGTGTCGGACTCCCAGGAGAAGGATTCACAATGACTGGCAGCGTTTGGGAAATCTAGGGGACTTTTTTTTTCCTGTTCTTTTCTTTCCTTGACTGGGGAATACTTCTCGGACTACTCTGGATATGTGACCCCGCCGGAGAGCTGTTTCACTTCTAAACCTGCTCGTCACCTTTTTGCAGTCATTCACCTACATTTCAGTTGAACGGGAGCCAAGCCACAATGCCTACCGGTAAGCAGGGGGGCTGCTCAGCCTCTTAAATACATGCAGGGATGTTTCCCAGAATGCTGAAATTATAGGCAGAAGTTTTGGAGGGCAATCTGTGATGTGGTGGGACTGGATTCTGTTGTCAAAGGTGCTGCATGTCTACACACCTCCTCAAAGGGGCTACAAACCAGATCCATGTAGATTATTATCAGCAAAAGGAGCCCCGTGCTGAAGATCTGAACAGAAACGGTGTAAAACTTATGTGGCAACGGGTCGGACATCAAACAGCAACATGTAAACACGAGGTCTGCTTCCTTTGCTCTGATGGTTTGGCTGTTTGTCTTCTTGGCTCTTTTGTGTGGTGTGATATTTTTCCCCTCAGCTGACAGCGCTGTGCGAAGCATCCGTCTCTCGGCAGTGCCGTTGTATGAACAGCGTCCTCTGCTTGTTTTCTCACTCCTGGCGCTGAATGGGAGCGTGTTTGCTTTCTCGCAGACATTGTGGGTTAAATTCCTGGTGATGCTGAGATGATGGTGGTGCACACAGGCTCTGCTGCTGTTTTTTATTTTGCTGTGGTTGTGTATTTCACTCTGTTGACAGCCGCAGATATAATCTTTGCAGAAAACTGCAAGAACTTGAAGTGTTTTTGAGATTGTAGATGGAATCTCAGGAAATCCAAGAGCGCCGCGTCGGACGTGGTTCAAAAAAGTTTTGTTTTCCGTCCCTCCATGTCTCTCGAAGCGGACACATGTGTCAGTTTCCTCCGGCTGGGTGTAGGTTTGAGTGTTGAGATGCCATTCTGCAGCCTGTGACCCAAATTAGAGCCTTGAGGGCAGCAGTTGGGGGGTGGCTACAAATGGGGAGAGAGAGGAGTGAAGGCAGGCAGGCAGGCAGGCAGGCAGGCAGGCGGGGAGGGGGGATAATTACTGTTTAGAGCAAACTCTTTGGTTTAGAGGTGCAGGAGACAATGGACCCCTCCGTCCTCCTCCTCCCACCCAGCTTGTCCAGTCCTCTGGGAGGACATCTGCCCCCCCCCTCCATACCGAGCGCTCACGTGCAAGGAGCTGCAGCCCCCACGGAGGCTGGATGAATGTAGGGTGGTGGGGGGCAGGTCTCTTCGGAGCAATCTGGACAAATCAATAGTTTACTTATTTAATTCTCATCCTCCCACGTGCCTGCAGGGGCTACAGGACGACGGAGTTCTGCAGCAAAGCGAGCGAAATGGTTCAGCGGTGAGGTTTTGCTCTGGGCTGGAATCCAGTCAGGTCAGAGAAGGAGGCTAGTGTGTCACCCTCGGAGGGAGGGCCAAGGGTGTGTGCAGCAGAAAAGGGTCGCACGGGTGTCCCGAGAGTGGGCCGCGAGAACGAAAATAGGACCTGCGTTGCGGTTGGCGGATGCTTTCTCCCACAGCTAAACACCGGTGCTCAGCTGCATTCCTCGCTCATGTCAAAAAGCAAATAGAGTCGCAACTCGTAAACACCATCTGCAGATAAGAAGCGTTAATATGCGTACACCGCCAGCGTGCGGCGGTTGTTGAATCATTTAAAGGGTTTTTTTTATTTCATTACGTGAACGAAGCCATTTGTGGGTAATTAGCCGACCAGCTGTGTGCGTGTGTGTTTACTTTAACTGTGTTTTGTGAGGCTGTGAAAACCAGGAGTCTGTTAAATCAGTTCAGACTTCAGCGTGTGTTGGCATGTTGTGCAGCTTATCAACTTATTTTCTTCTTTCCCCTCCATCCATCGTGCCTTGTGACGGATGCCCTGCCCGTCCCATCTCTTTGTTAATGCAGTGATAAGTTGTTCAGCTGAAACCCCGCCCCGTGTCACCAATCCCATACTTGGCTTCTCTACATCTTCTCTCCCACCTCTGCCCCCTCGCTTCTTCTCCTGCTCTCCACTTTCATTCAGCTGCGGTGTGAAATCCAGAGTGACACCTTAAGGCCCTTAGCGTCAGTTGAGATCAGGCCTGTGTCTCTATCAGACGCTGACCTAAAGTGGACGCGACGGAGGATGGGAGGCCGAGGAGGCCACAGCTTCAGATGCTGCGAGTTTGCGTTTGATGATTTTCAAAGAAGACGCTTCACACAAAAGGTGTGGGTGCTGAAAGAATTTGGTAGATTGGTTTGAGATAGTGAGACGTTTTAGGGCTTTACGTCCTACAAAAGGCAGAATTCAAAATGAGACGGAGCGAGTGGGAAATGGAAAGAGAGGAAGAAGCAAGGGAGTGGGTGGTGTCTGACCTCTGGCCCTTCTTCTCATCTTTTCTTCCTACTTTCATTCCTCGGGGATCTCTCCTCCTCATTTCTCACTCTCTTGCAGTCACACTCGTCCCTTCGCTTAAAGTGTTTACGAAGACGCTGCCAAAGCGAAGACAAAGGCGGCCGGGCTCTAAGTCACACAGTGCTTTCGCTTCTGCCTTGTTCTTGCATAAAAACAATGCGTTCTGGTTTCCAAACACACCGCCTGGATCCAGTTACACTTTCGGTGCTCTTGAGTGAGACAGGACTGCGCAGTCAGCAACACGGGCTGCATGGCATCGAACCGGCTGCCATCTGGTCGGCCTGCTGCAGGATAAACAAGAACCCACACGGACAAACAACGGTGATTTGAGGATCTACCAAGTGTGCGAAGTGTGTGGTCATGTCCTGTCTGCTGCAGTCACTGCTATCTGGGACAACAATCTCATCACAGTCTAGTCTAGCTCCTTTCCTCTAAACCCTCCAGTGTTGATGTTGAAAGTTTGTGTCTCAGACCAGTTGATCTGATGACTTCTTATTACGGGATTTATATGATATATGTTGTTCAAAAAAGTGCAAATTTATCACAAACTGTTCTGCATTTTACATTTGTCATGTACTGAGTTGAATACATCGCTGCTAGCGCCGCCGTTCTCCTTTTGTTTCTGCTTCACTTGCAATTGGGATTCAAAAAAGTGCTGCTACAAATCATTTCCTGGAACCGTTTCGTGTTCTGCTTGTTGTACTTCTCTCTGATTTGCTCATTTTTCTGCATATCATCGATTTCATTTCACTTTTTATTTAGGAAAAGTCTAAATTTGTTGTGATGTGTCCAGAACATCCGGCGTTCAGGTAACACTTAAAGAACAAATTTTAAAACTCTTCGGTATTTCACACGCAGCTGAAAACCAGTGATACAGAACAACTGTTGTGAAATCCTCCAAACTGTACAAAGAGAAATGTGCATGCAGCTGAAGCTCTGTGAAAGTGATGAACACATGCATCCTGGTGGTCTGCAGCCATGTGCTGCGTTCAGGCTGGTCAGCGTGTATTTTTACATAGTAAAGTATATGCTTGGAGAGGCATGGTCTGAGCCCATAGGAATGTCCTGGGGAGCTCATACACACACTTGGCAGAGTCACTTTATGAACTGCCAGACATATTCTGAGTTTGAATGCAGAATGACAGGAAAGGAGAAAGAAAATGGCCGGAGTTGTGTTTGAACTGATGTAATGGGCATTAGCGAAGAAGGAGCAAGTGGAGGCATGGATGGATTAGAGTGGAACTGTAGGAAAACAGATGGAAAGAAGACAGAAAGTCATCGCTCAGCTGACTGATGCAGCCGTTTGTCCCAAGGACTCGACACTGAAGTCCCTCTACTACTTTCACCGTCCCGGTCACACCAGAAAGTGTCTCAGTGAATTCTTCTCATGCCTCCTCACAAAATATATGTTTGGAGGCTTGGAGACGTAGCGACCGTTTGTGGGTTGTGCAGTGTTTACCTTTTGTTGTGGTTGGTTTTGTTTGCGGCAAAATGGATTTGAAGAAAAATGCTCAGTAGGTATCTCTGTCACCGTCAAACTGGCCTCAGTCAACAGGAGAGCTTCCTTCTTACTCTTTGGTTCTCTTGATTTCCTCACGACAGTTTCATCTGATTAACAAACTGAACTAGCCAATTAGAAACATCACTGTCATCAATGGTGGCATGTGTGAGCCAATAGGACGTCAACACTTTCAGGACAACATATTGTTTTTAATGAATTCCATTTTTTACTTGTAGAAGGAATTAAATTTGATTTTACAGTCTCACCTCTGAGCTCTGAATAGTGACCAAAAGCATGAGGATGTGGACACAAGCAGCTGAAATCCTCCTCCTAGGGTGGCTGAGGTCAGCCGTAGAGATCAGGTGAGGAGCTGACAGTCAGAGTTGCTGCTCTTTTGTGTCAAAAAGAGCTGAGATGGTTCAAGCATTTGATTTGAATGCCTCCTATTCGCCTTCTTTTGGAGGTTTTCGAGGCATGTCCAACTGGGAGGAGACCTCGGGGTAGATCCAGAGCTCACTGGAGGGATTATCTATCTCATCTGGACTGGGAACACCTTCAGAAGGAAATAGAAAACAGAAGGAGTTGAGAAACATCTTGAACGCTCTGCTTCGCCTGCTCATTCTGGATTGGAAAATGGATCGATCGACTTTTAGATTTCTATGTAAATATAGTGACTGACTAAAACATGAAGCCACTTTCCAGATTGTGCACCATGAGAGGCTTCACGATCATCATCTGTCTGAATGGTTGTGTCGACCACTCCCATCACAAAGTCGCTCATCCTGTGGACATACATCCATGTGCATGCAGACGCCCAGTGCAGGATAAATAGAACGGCACTCTTTGCCTCTTCTGGTCACTCCTTCCTCCTTCCTCGTCTCCTCAACTGTTCCCTCTCACGACACAGTCCTCCCAATCACTCTGTGCAAAAATGCTCCGCAAAGTTCAGCCAAATTTAACATGAGCCTCGAGAGTTGGCCAAACCAAGTGGGTATTTTCCAAAGTTACGGCCTTCTCAGTCCGAAATCCCCTCTTTGTTATTCCCTGGGCTGTGTTTTATTACTGAGGGATCCTCCCTGGAAGTCGCGTGTCGGCTTCGTTGCTCAAACTGCCACAGATTGTCAGTTTATTACGGCTGTTTAAACCCAGCGATTAGGGACACCAGTCGACCCAAAATAAACACCAGGAATTGTTTCACAGCTGTTCTATATCCAATATCTGCACATGACGTAACACCTCGA